GTGCTACCTCTTCAAAGCACATGATGTATGCCTAAGTGTTGAGTCTTCGGTAAGATGAATGGAGGCATCATTAGTTTTTAGTTGGAAAGGGATGCTGGGTGTTATTCAAAAGCTTCGTAGTGCTGTCTTTTCTCTCGTCCTTCATGCCTTGGGATAAAATTGGCCCTTTTGCATCTTGTATGAGAAATAACGAATGTCTTCATGAACTGATGAGAAACTTAGACACACCACTGACCAGGCTATGGACCTGATTGCCTTGGAGAGATCGTTGTCAATCATGGCCTGGATCTCACCAACAAATTTGCGAGTTCTTTTCTTATCAGGACGTGAGTTTTTCGAGCTGCCGTACATTTATAATCATCATTAGACTCATCCAACTCTTTTCCGAATCCTATGCACCGTCCTAAGATTGACAATTAAAAACTCTTAAATGTAAGTATTGGAGCTCCCAGCGCAATTGCAAGCAATACAACATGCCGTTTTCAATCTTCTAACGGAGTGAATTGTGTCATGGTTCTCTTTTTCTCAACGACGGTGCCCAACTGACCCTACTACACTGTGCAGTCAACAAAATCTAAAACAAAAAAACGCGCATGCGCGAAATTAAAAATATAAAATGGCGACAATTTACCCATCGGACACTATATATAGAGAAACTGTCAGAATTCTCTATATGTCCCAAGTTTCCTATTCTATCTCTCCTGTGTACCTATAATTCTCTTCCCCTCTGGATACAAACCATATATATATATATATATATATATATATATATATATATATATATATATATATATATCGGTCATTTTATTTAATAATTTCAATTAGTTGGCCATATCAGTGTAGGTACATGAGTAATTTTTAAGATTAATAATGAACTTTTTTTTCAAGATAATCTCATTTTCTGTCAATGCACATAATTGAGTAAGCAGTATTCATGAGGGAGGGGCAACAATATACAGTGAAAATTTAAAATGAACAATCAAGTAATATATCAGTTACAAGTTATGGCCATAGATAGATTCAAACAGACTGAGATAGATAGATAGATAGATAGATAGATAGATAGATAGATAGATAGATAGATAGATACCTCGACGTGGTGTAATGGTTAGCAAGCTTGTCTCGCTAGAACAATTACGACTGAGTAGTGAGTTCGACGAGTGCCCCATTTTTTCGGCCTTGTGCCACATCTGAGCTGCGCTTAGAAAATCACTTGATAGATAGATAGATAGATAGATAGATAGATAGATAATGAACCGACAAAATAGATAGATAATGAGCCGACAAGATAGATAATGAGCCGACAAAATAGATAGATAGATAGATAGATAGATAGATAGATAGATAGATAGATAATGAGCCGACAAAATAGATTGATAAGGAGCCGACAAGATAGATAGATAGATAATGAGCCGACAAGATAGATAGATAAATAGATAGATAGATAGAGAGAGAGAGATAGAGAGAGAGAGAGAGAGAGAGAGAGAGAGAGAGAGAGATCGTATGCTCGATAGTGCATAGGATTCAGTTAATCAGTTTGCCTTATCTCTGCAAACGACATTACGTCCTTATTGTCATAAATCAACAATTTTTTACGCTAGTCCCGTGTGTTCATGCACGCAATTAAGCCCATCTTTCATTACTCAAAAATTACATTCTCAATATTTTTCTCGATCTTCCCCGCTCAGCTTAATTTCTCATCACCCGGACATTTTATCGTTCGACTAGCCCGCCTTATCTTTCCCGCCTTATCTCTCTCGCCTTATCTTTCCCTCTTATCTTTCCCGCGTTCAATCAGGAACAACAAAACGGACAATGAGAAGGGCTCTCAAGATATTCGTGCGTTGTACATTTCAATGTTTCTTTGGTAATTTTTTTCATCATCATTATTATTATTATTATTTGTGTATGTTGTTTTTTGACCTTGATTATTACGGTCAACAGGAGTAGTCACGTCGATGAGGCGGCATTTTCTTGTTTCTTTGTCAACGAAGGTGACGTATGGTTTCGTAACCTCAAAGTCGTGGTCTGTTTGAATGTAAAAATCGCATAAGATCTTCACTTGGTTGTTGGCGACTGCCTTCTCTGACTTGTGGTGATACCAATTCCAGTTGATCTTCAAATCCATACTTTCTACAGATGCACCAATGCAGAGGGTTGACCACTTTATGATGGCGACGATTCTATTATTTCTACACAAGAATTCCACAAGCGCTAATGATGGATTCGGACAAATGAAGACTGTATTTATTATTATTATTATTATTATTATTATTATTATTTGTGTATGTTATGTTTCCTGCTTTGTGCACTGTAGAGCCGGGTTCAAACTATGGTCCTTAAGACCTATAAAAGAATTGTCATTTAACTGATAGCACTTTTCTTAGTACATGAGACGATATTTTGGGTAACTTGTATGTTGATGTTACCTGGGACACTTAGTAAAATTGTCCATTCCTTTTTCTCGTCCAGAGCTCCGATTACTAATGGTACAGTCTTCATTCCCCACGTCCTGTTAATCTCTATCTCCAATTGTTGTATTTGGACAATTTTTCGATAATTTTCATGGGGGTGTTTCTCTCAGATGGTACTGCTATGTCAATAAGCATACACTTCCTGAATTTCTTGTCTTTTATGATAATATCAGGTTTGTTGGATTTTATTTCTCTGTCAGTTTCAATTGGCATATCCCAGAGGATAGTTACATCGTTTTTATTATTATTATTTTTTTCCTTTGATTTCTGGTGTGTACACATTTCTTTACGCGTCCAACCCAGAGACCTAAGGTTAGAAATGACCTCATGGCATTTTCCAATGACCAATTAGAAAAAAAAAAACACAAACATATTTTACATAGATAAAGCCCTTCGTAAGATGCGGGAGGTACTCGTGAGAACATTTTTTTTGTATTTCTTTAACGCATGGACTTCCAGAAATCCCTTCAATTAGTCTACTGGAATCTTTTCAAACCAATCCAGGGGGCTCCAATTTGGTACAACAGGAATTGTTGATATTCCCATGTACCACATTTTGAGATTTCAATTCAGTCAATTGTCCTTGTATTTTTGATAGGTTTTTGAAGATCTTCAAAGATACATTGTTTGTAGTTTCTGCAGGAGCCTGCCATTTCAATAAGGAGGCAGCAATTTCTTTTTGTCCATTCTCAGAAATCGTGATTAGAGACTAATCACGATTTCTGGGCAATTAGCTTTCATTGTTCTGTCTCTGTGTATTGTAAAGTCCCATAAAATAGTTACAGGTTCGTAACCGGGTCTGGGTGGTGTTCATACCAATTTCTTACAGTTTCCTTTCCATAAGCGTTTCAGATTTTCCAGAGCAGATATTGGCCCACTCTATCGTGCCATGTCTTACATTCTATGGGTGCCAATACCACGCAACCTGATACAAGATGATCAACTGTTTCTTGATATTTATAACAGAATATGCATTTCGGGTTAAAACAATTTTTCAATATAAGTGCCTGATAATTTCTAGTTAGCAAGCATCAGTCCTGTTCAGCAAGAATAAAACCTCCAGTTTCAGATTTTAACACAATACTTCGTAGCCAGTTATAGGTACGGGTTTTGTCTACATCAGCTTGTTTGGTACGGGCAGAGTATTGACAATGAAGCAGTTTACCTTGCCATCATTTCTGTATCTGGTAAATTGCATTTTCCTTTGCTTTCTTTTTAAAGTATTTTGCAGCTTCAGTCGGTGTATTGTACTTGTATTTCTTCATCCATTTGAAACTCCATTCTGAACTTTTGGCCTTTATTACTGGATAGATGCTAGATGGATTCATTCCTTTATTACTGAATGGAACAAATTTCTTTAAAGTCGCTTACTGGACTTTCATGCTGGATTTTGATGGATGGATCATCATCCAGTCTTCTGTAATTTGGGTTTAAATGGCTAATTGTTGTAGTTTCGTCCATTAAGATAGTTCTAGTTGAACTAAGCTCCTCTGCCTCCTTAGGATCTGAGGGCACATGCACGATCGACGTCAACTTTAGGTTGATGATATGTCATAATATAATACATATATAGATGGTGAGCAGAATATTCTCGTTTTGGCGTCCATTCTCGTAACTGGCATTAAGCCAGTTATGGTGTTTATGACTGATATTCTGTTTTTTTTTTTTAATTCAGCTCGGTATTCAGTACCAAATGCACACGCCACGTATAACCACGTGGAGTAGGATAGATGATATTATTATTAGACGGATAGATATTATTATTATTTTCATAGATTGGATTTTTTTGGTTATTTTCCCTCTTAGGATGGATTTTTTTTATATTTGGATGGATGGTGAATATTGAACAGATAATAATAGATGGATCTTCATGTCTATAGCTGAGAGAGATAGAGAAAAAGAGAATGAGAGAGAAAGAGTGAGAAAGTTAAAAGTTGTGCCTTTGCCAACGGTATTAGTGCGAAATGCATATGAACAGACTTAAATCAAATTCGAGCACTAATTGCCAATTGCATTTATACTTTTTTTTCTGAAGTTTGCCCTTTGTCAATTCTGTCATATTTTAATACATATATAGATTTTTGTAAACCCTATGTCTCTTCAGAATATAATGGGTGGGGGGTGATGGATGAATGAATCTCACCAGAATAATGGATTTTCGTTCTGGATTTCTATGAATTGTGAGATGCCATTTAGGGAAGATAGATTGGATGAATGTATTTCGGATGGATGGATGGATGTTATGGATTTCTCCGCTGTTTGTATTGAAGACAGAATGTAATAGAGAGATTTCGTGTCTCATAGAACTATGGATAGATGGATGAATGGATGTGACAAGGCTAGAGAATGGAGAGATGAAAGTGTGTGTTGGATAGATGGATGGATTAACCCATGTGGATGGATGGATGGTGGGACGGGGATGGATGTCGTGCTGGATGTCCGAGGGTAAAAAGCATGCAAGAATGGAACTAGAATTTAAATTCTGATGGATGGCAGATTCCAGTTTCTGGACGGATAATTGTTACGCTAACCACGTCCACAGAGATAGATAGATAGATAGATAGATAGATAGATGAGATAGATAGATAGATAGATAGAATATAATGAATGGATGGATTGATAGATAGATAGATAATGAACAGAATAAGATAGATAGATAGATAGATAGATAGATAGATGATGGAGATAGATAGATAGATAGATAATGAACAGAATATGATTGATAGATATGGATAGATAAAAGAATATGACAGATAGATAGATAGATAGATGGAGATATAATAGATAGATAGATAAAGAAACAGAATAAGATAGATAGATATGATAGATAGATAGATGGAGATAGATAGATAGAAGATAGATAGATAGATAATGAAGAGAATATGATTGATAGATATGTGAACAGAATATGGATAGATAGATAGAAAATAGATAGATAGAATATAATGATGGATAGATAGATAGATAGATGGATAGATAGATAGATAGATAGATAGATAGATAATGAACAGAATATGATAGATGATAGATAATGAACAGAATATAATGATAGATGATAGATAATGATAGATAGATAGATATGACAGGATATAATAGATAGATAGATAGATAGATAGATAGATAGATAGATATAGATAATGAACAGAATATGACAGATAGATAGATAGATAGATAGATGGAAACAAGGAATAAAGATAGATAGATAGATAGATAGATAGATGAATGAAATATAATATGATTGATAGATAAGATAGATGAACAGAATGGATATGACAGATAGATAGATGGATAGATAGATAGATAGATAGATAGATAGATGAACAGAATATAATAGATAGATAGATAGATAGATAGATAGATAGATAGATATATGAGGATGATAGATAGAATGAACAGATGGATATGATGATAGATAGATAGATAGATGAACAGAATATAATAGATAGATAGATAGATAGATAGATAGATAGATAGATAGAAATGAACAGAATATAATGGATAGATAGATAGATGGATAGATAGATATGACGTCAGATAAGATAGATAGATAGATGATAGATAGATAGATGGGATATGGATAGATAGATGGATGAATGGAATGAACAGAATATGTGGATGGATAGATAGATAGATGACGATGGAGATAGATAGATAGATGGAGATAATGAACAGAATATAATAGATAGATAGATAGATAGATATGGATATAGATAGATAATGGATGGAGATATAATAGATAGATAGATATGGATGGAATGATGACAGAGATAGATGGATGGATGAAACAGAATATAATGGAGATGGATGGATAGATAGATAGATAGATAGATAGATATAGATATAATAGATAGATAGATAGATAGGACGACGATGGATGGAGATAATGGATATGGAGATAGATAGACAGATAGATAGATAGATAGATAGATAGATAGATAGATAGAATGAACAGAATATAATAGATAGATAGATAGATAGATAGATATGATAGATAGATAGAGATAGATAGATAGAGATCAGATGGATAGATAGATAAATGAACAGAATATAATAGATAGATAGATAGATAGATAGATATGATGAATGGATAGATAGATGATAGATAATGAATAGATAGATGTGATGGATAGATAGATAGATAGATAATGGATAGATAGATAGATAGATAAATAGAAAAGAATATGGATAGATAGATAGATAGATAGAATATGGATAGATAGATAGATAGATAGATAATGGATGGATGGATGGATATTGAGACAGAATATAGATGGATAGATAGATAGATAGATAGATAGATAGATCAGATAGATAGATAGATGGATGAATGAATAGAATATAAATGGATGGATAGATAGATAGATAGATAGAATGATAGATAGATAGATAGATGGATAGATAGATAGATAGATAGATGAATGATAGATGAATAGATAGATAGAATAGATAGATAGATGACGTCAGATAGATAGATAGATAATGAACAGAATATGGATAGATGAATAGATAGATAGATAGATAGATAAGAATAATATAATGGAGATGGATAGAATCAGATAGATAGATAGAAAATGAACAGAATAGATAGATAGATAGATAGATAATGAATATAATAGATAGATAAAGATAATGAACAGAATATAACAGATGAATGGATAGATAGAGATAGATGATAGATAGATAGATAGATAATGAAACAGAATATAATAGATAGATAGATAGATAGATAGATAGATAGATAGATAGATAATAGATAGATAGATAGATAGATGGATAGATAGATAGAATGAATAGATAGATAGATAGATAGATAGATGAATAATGAACAGAAGAAGAATATGGGATAGATGGATAGATAGGATAGATAGATAGATGGAGATAATGAAATAGATGGATGGAATATATGGAGAATAGATAGATAGATGGATAGATGGATGGATGATGGATGATAGAGGGATAGATAGATAGATGGAAGATGGATGGATAGATAGATAGATAATGACCAGAATAGATGGATGGATGGATGAACGGAAGATAGATAGATATAGATATGGATGAATATGGATGGATGGAGAATGGATATGGATGGATGGATAGATAGGATAGATAGAATGAATAGATAGAATAGATAGATAAAGATGATGGGAATAGATAGAGATAGATAGAATGAAGACAGATGATGGATAGATATGTGACGTCGGATAGATAGATGGATAGATAGAGATAGATAGATAGAAGATAGAATATGGATGAATAGATAGATAGATATGGATAGATAATGAATGAACAGAATGGATGGATGGATAGATGGATGGATAGATAGATGGATGGATGTGGGCGTCGGATGGATGGATGGATGGAGATAGATAGATATGATAGATAGATAGATAGATGAACAGAATATGGATAGATAGATAGATGGATAATGAACAGAATATAATAGATATGGATAGATAGATAGATAGATAGATAATGAACAGAAACAGAATATAATGGATAGATAGATAGATAGATAGATGAAGATAGATAATGAACAGAATATAATATAGATAGAGATAGATAGATAGATAGATAGATAATGAAAGATGATGGATAATAGATAAGATAGATAGATAGATAGATAATGATAGAATATAATAGATAGATAGATAGATAGATAGATAGATAGATAGATATAATGAACAGAATATAATGGATGACCAGAATATATGTAGATAGATGGAGATAGATAGATAGATAGACGTCGGAGATAGAACAGAATATAATAGATAGATAGATAGAGATAGATGGAGAGGAAGATATGAACAGAGAATATAATAGATAGATAGATAGATAGATAGAGATAGATGGATGGAAGACAGAATAGATAGATAGATAGATAGAGATAGATAGATAATGAACAGAATATAGATAGATAGATAGATATGAACAGATAAGATAGATAGAATGATAGATAGATGGATAGATGATAGATAGATAGATAGATAGATAGATAGATGATAGATAGATATATGAACAGGATATGGATAGATAGATATATGATAGATAATGATTAGACAGAAATAGATAGATAGATAGATAGATAGATAGATAGATGGAATGGATGAACAGAATATATGGATAGATGGAGATAGATAGAGATAGATGGAATGAACAGAATGGAGATAGATAGATAGATAGATAGATAGATAGATAGATAGTAATAGATAGAGAATGAACAGATAATAGAGATGGATAGATAGATAGATAGATAGATGAACAGATGGAGATAGATAGATAGATGGAGATAGATAGATAATGAACAGAATATAATAGATAGATAGATAGATAGATATAATGAACAGAATATAATAGATGGAGATAGATAGATAGATGGATGGATATTGATAATAGAATGGATGGATAGATAGATAGATGGATAGATAGATAGATAGATGGATGGATGGATATGGATGGATGGATGGAGATAATGGATGGATAGATAGATAGATGGATAGATAGATGGATGGATGGATGGATAGTCAGATAGATGGATAGATAGATATGGATAATGAACAGAATATAATAGATAGATAGATATGGATAGATAGATATGGATGGATAGATAGATAGATAGATAGAATAGATATATAATGGATAGATAGATAGATAGATGGGATGGAGATAGATAGATAGATAGATAGATAGCAATGAGGATGGATGGAAACTGGAAAAATGGATATTACAGTGAGAACATTTATAGAAGAAGCAAATAGAAATTTTGTTACGGCGATGCGAAATTGGCTGAAATCGAGATGCCAGGTCAGGACCGATATCTTCTTTGGATATTCCCAACTCCTTGGACTCTCTCCAATGATTTTCTGCAAGGTCGAGGGCGTCTCCATTAAAGGCTACAGAATAAAGTATTTATGTATTGCATCTTCGTATAAGTTTTATTTGCGTACTTTAGTGTTATATATAAAATGTTTTCATTTATAACTCGTTTTTTGGAATTCATTTCTTTGGGTTATTCAAACCCTTCCATCCGTTTTGATAAGGGATTAGGCCAAATATCCCGGCACTAGTTTTCTTATCCCTTGTTTTATCAAACTAAATGTAAATTTTTTTTATAATGGCGTCTTCTGGGATTTACTGAAAATCCCTCACCACATGACCGCTATTTACTTCACTGTTTATTCAAACGGGAATACATATCAAGTAATTTTATCTGATGGAAGATTTCTTTTTTATTTTAAAGTAAAAAAATAAACCAAAAATGAAAGCACATCAACCCTAAATAAATTTTTTAAAAAATGTCTATAAAAACGGAATCCGAACATTTGACAAAAGGAATAATGGTTTTTGCTTTGTCAAAGTTGATTAAAGGAGTTACAGTATTTTACTATGACTGCAGCAGCTCACTCATCTACATTGCCGATTGATCCCTGTCAAGGTTGATAATGGGTGTTACAGCTTTTTCGTTTCTATTGCAATGATAGATAAGATATTCATGGGAAAGTGGTTTACCCCGAGGCTCTCTCATTCAGAATGTTGACTGAGCTTTGGAAATGTTGCGTATACAGTTTTCTCGTTGCTACTACCTGGACAGGTAAGAACAGGTAAAGTAGTTACGGTACAGTTGTTAGCTGCTGGGTCAGCTTTATATATTTCCCATATCCGTGTATATTTTTTCCTTACCCTCTCCCTTACCTAGAGAGCTTCTTGATTTTGCCCAATGGGCAGAATACAGCGACCTCTCCTTTTTTGAGGGTTGGACGGGGCCTACTAACATCAGTTATGCTTTAGTTTGCTTTGTGTTGGTATTTAATTTGTTTTGGGGTTCATACCCTTCCCCCCTCATTGTCAAAATATTAGATTTTTATCTATAAAATATATATTTTGTATCATCAAATTTTTATATCGCGGGGTGCGTTTTGCAGGCCTTCCTTCCCTGAGAGGATGCGGTATTATGATGTAGGGAGGATTGATTGGTGATGTACGAGTTTTTGTGGTGAATGTGCAAATTGTAACGAATGAATTGGTCGTGAATCGGATTAGCTAGGGATAAGATAGTGAAGACCAGCCTCAAACCTCTTTCCCCTTTTCGGCCTTGTGCCACAATTGTATTTTATATACAACTAGCAGCATGTACTTAATTAGCGTTGCCCGTGCTTGATTCAAAATCATACGACTCATACAGCAATCGCTATCACTTTGACTTAAAATATTTTTTGCCCTTCCTTGCAAAAGGAATAATGGTTTTTTAAAGGAGTGCCCTTTGCCGTGCTGATGTTGCTACGTGCCTTACTTCTTGCCTATCTCAGACTGCGAATTTTTTCTAAGCTCTATACTAAACATTAAATCTGTTACGAAAAAAGAATTAAACAAAATGAACACAAAACGATCAGCTTTAAAAAAGGACACGTAACTGGAAAAACCGAATGAAAAAAGAATGTTAACAACAAATACTTTTTCACACCGAACCCAGTTCTGCGGAATCAGAATCAATGTTGAGTTTAAGCAAGCGATTGAGCCAATTGGAGTAAAGTGCCATGCAGATTTAAATTTTTCCCACTTGTGACGAATGCAGCTATCGATTTCTTTGCATGCTAGCATGCTAGTTAACATTCGTGTCAGTCAGCTGTTGGCTCTCACTCTGGCCAGTAGAAAATGGCCGCAAACTACATGAAAACTGCCGTATGGACTGGTAGGTTAGTTATGGTAGAGTGATTAGCTCAATTACTCACTCACCCATATTAATGAGTAAGCCCTGTCAAGGTTAATAATAGGCGACGCAGCGTTTTCTTGGCAGGTAAGATAGTTATAGGTGAGTGGGCAGCTCAAATACTCACTCATCTATCCTATAAATTGATCCTTGTCAAGGTTCATAATGGGTGTTACAGCTTTTTCGTTTCTACTGTCGGAACAAATAAGATAGTTATAGGAGAGTACCTGAATTGCTCACTCATCCATCTTATAGATTTAACTCTGTCAAGGTTGATAAAACGTGTTACAGCTTTTTCGTTGCTACTGCTTAGTTGTGTGAAGTAGCTATTGGGAAGTATTGTAGCTGTATTAAGTTACAGTCTACGCCGTCTGTCAAACTCTCTGCATTAACAGAGAGAAACCCGGACGAAGCTTTGCCGAAGAGCAAGGTTTCGTTCGGGGAGGTTATGACAGCTCTCGAACGCGCCTAGGCGAGTCGAAGGCTATATTTTTGGCCGGGCTTACGGGCTCGGGTGACCACGTAAAGCTCGGCCTTGTGCCACATGCGACCCTAAAATGGGGGGACAGCTAAATATTGGTAGCTATTGGGAAGTGGTTTGCTCAAATGCATACACGTCCACTTCTTTTCTTTATGCCATACTATACCAGTTACGAACGAAGTAGGGAGATGTAGATTCATGCCTTTTAATGATATTAATGCAAAGTAAATATAAACAAACTCTACTAGATTTCGATCGCTTTTCGTCGGCTCCATTCCCCGTGATGATAAACATTCTCACCTCGAAAAACAAAAAAAGGATATTAATAGAAGCCGTGGAATAAAAGAAAGTAGCAGCCATAATATGTCCATTAGCGTCTTAATATTTCGCATTGGTTGTTTTGTTTTTTGTTGTTTTTTTTTTTTCAGTTAGACAAACCGCGCCCTTCTTTTCCCGACTCTCCACTGTAAATTCTCAGTCGATACATCAACCTTGATTAAATTCCTTAACACTCGACTAGTTTCACTAGATTTCTTAATGACATGGACGCTTCGAAACCGCCATTTATTTTAATTGCTCTGTGTTTAATACAAAAACAGATCTCGAAATGGCTATAAATGTAACAAAGAAAGAAACAATAACACAAAGATTAAAAAAAAATGGAGTCAATTTTTTTTTTTTAAGTCAAAAATTTGAAGAAAAAGAAGACTTTTTGGTAGGGTTGTTTACCGAATTTAAACAAAAACTCAAGCAATTGATCTGAAATAATTTCCATATAATAATAAGAATAGAAATAATAACAAAAACATTATGGTTAGAACAACATAATCAAGAAAATTTATTCCAAGGGATAAATTTCTTATAGAGATATTTTATCAATGAAAATGTTGAAACTTGGATAAGCATGGAATAATAATAATACAACACAAAATGTACGTAAACAAAATGTATTGAAACAAGGAAAAGGTACACAATATTTACAGTTAGTTTTGATATATTCTTGGGAAGACTGTTCCTGCAGAATGGGTTGACTAAATCGCAGTCGGGCAGAGTCTCTGGATTCGATCTCTTCTTACTAACTACTATTTTCCCCCGTCTTCCGGTACCAACCCATATTTATATGGTCGGTACTCCACTTATGTAAATTGGGTGTATCGTACACAACAGAAAATATAACAAGAAAAGAAACCGAGTTGAAACATTCTAATAAAAACAACAAATTCAAAGAAAATACTTAACTAAATCATTGTATAATAGTAACAACAACTCGTCGGAACTCCAGCGAAAAAAGTGGCCGGAGAGTAAAGCGGCCGAAACATTTTAATACAAACAACAAATATAAAGTAACAGATTAACCTGAATCAATGTATAATAGTAATAACACTTTGTGTAGAAACTTCAGCCAGAAAGGTGACCGCAGACAACAGCCGGAATAAAAACAATAAATATGAAGAGAATAATTAACTGAATCTATGTATAAAAATAACAAGAACTCATATTGGATCTTCTGCACAAAATGTGGCCGGAGAGTAGAGCGGATGAGACATTTTGATCTATACAACTAATACAAAGTGCTACATTATTTTAATTATTCGAACTATTGTCCTCATCTTTGTCGCCATATTTATTACAACGTTTCGGCGGTTGTACGCTCCGGCCTTCTTCAGATGCTTGGAATGTCGAACTGAACCCTTTATTTCGCTCACTGGGGTAGACTGTTCTAGTTCCACGTACCATGTTTAATGGATGTCAGTTATCTCGTGTTAATTTCCCTCTGGAAGTTCTCCACTGCCTTAACAGGGTATTGAACTCACACTCTTTGGGTCCTGTCACTGGATCTAACCAACGCCTTTATCCAATGTGGCATGTGTCCTTGAGAACGTGGAACTAGAAAAGTCTGCCTCAGTGAGCGAAATAAAGGGTTAACTTCGACATTCCAACCACCTGAAGAAGGCTGAGCGTACAACGGCCGAAAGGTTGTAATAAATATGGCGACAAAGATGAGAACAATAGTCCGAATAATGTAAATAATGTACATAATACCTCATCTCAGAAATAAAGACAGACAAAGTAACTAGTTAACATGAATCAATGTATAATAGTAGCAACACTAGGAATAGTCGGAATTTCTGTCAGAAAGTTGACCGCAGAGTACAGCGGCCGAAATATTTTAATAAAAACGACAGATATGAAGAAACTAGTTAATTGAATCAATGCATAAGAGTAAGAACAATTTGTGTGCGATCTTCACTCAAAAAGGTGGCCGGCGAGTCAGTCAGTTATGTGCCATACGTGATACAGGCTTAGGCGATCATGACTGACGAGGCAGATTTTTTCCTGTTGTCATTTCTTTCTGCGGTAGACCAGTTGCCATCCAAGGCCATAGAATCCGGTCTGTCCTGCTATTTACCCATAGTTGGAGGGGGGAGAAGAAGAAGAGGATTCATACCTTTCCCAAGAGTATTAGCACGTAAATGAATGTAATGGATTCGACTGGAAAGTTAATCAGTTAATTATGTGCCATGCGTGATACACGCTTAGGCGATCATGTATCTTTCGATACATGACTGACGAGGCAGATTTTTCCCCGTAGTAGATTGCGATTTCTTTCTACGGTAGACTAGTTGCCATCCAAGGCTATAGAACCCGGTCTGTCCTGCTATTTACCCATAGCTTTAGAAGAAGAGGATTCATACCTTTCCCAAGGGTATTAGCACGTAAATGAATGGATTCAACTGGAAGATCGATTCCTCAATCCGAGCTGTTATCCATTACTCCATCGTAGTGCAGCGGCTGAAACATTATAATATAAACAAGAAATACGAAGTAAATGGTTAAAAGGAATCGATGTATAATAGTAACACCACATGCTGGAAATTCAGCCAGAAACTTGTCTGGAGAGTATAGTGGCTGAAACATTCTAATATGAACAACAAATAAGAAATAACTTGTTGACATGAATGAATGTATATAATCGTGTCGAAACGTCAGCCAGAAAGGAGGTCGTAAAGTACAGCGGTCAAAAGAGTCTAATAAAAACAACAAATACGAGAAACTCGTTAAACTCAATCAATGTATAACTATCTGCTTTTTTATTTTCCCTTTCTCCCACTCTTTTTGTCTCCATTTTCCTCCGTCCGCTGCACTCTTTCCTCTGCACTTTCATTTCCCTCCCCCTCTTTCTATGTAATTCTTCCTCACCCCTTCCTTCTTCAATCAGTCTTCTCCTATTCCACTCTTCTTCCACGTTATCGAAATACAACTCCTCTTACCTCACTCTTCCAACTTTACTCCTTCCTCTGCCTCTTCTCTCTTCTTCTCCCACTTTATTTCCTGCAACTGAGTCCTTCTCCTCCCATTTCGATCTTCCTCTTCCCTTTCACGCTTTATTTTTCTCCTCCTATCTTAATCTTCTACCTCCCACTTCATCCTCTCCTCCCACTTCGTTCTTCTTCTTCCCTCCCACAGTTTACTTTTCTCTTATCTTACTCTTCTACCACTCATTTTCCTCTCCTCCCACTTCGATCTTCCTCTTCCCTGCCACACTTTACTTTTCTCCTGCCTTACTCTTCTACCACATATTTTCCTCTCTTCACACTTTACTCTTCCTCATACTACACAATCTTCCTCCTGTTGCTTTTCCTCTTCTTTTTCTCACTCCACTCTTCCTTCTCCTCTGCTGCCATTTGTATCTCGCCTGCTAAGCATTGCCACTGCAATTACCGCTTTCTTTCAAACAATCTTTAATCTTCCATCTTATCTTGTGCCTTTCGACCGAATCAATGAAAAAAACTACTGAAAGTTAATAAGTAAATAAAATAACTTACTCTAAAAATATTTTAAGTGAAACAACTGCCAAAAGCCGCTAGAATTACGAACGTCAACATTCCCAAAACGTCAGTCGAAAAAATCCGCCATAAAATTCCTCGGAAGGAAAACCCAGAATCAAAGACTCTTTGCTCATCTCTATAAAATTAATAGCTCGTTCTAAAAATGAAAGAAAATTTGAGTCTGGGATTATTGCTTTTCCTTTTAGTTCTTGATTAGTTCTTATTTTCTATTTTTATTTATTATTGCTATCGTTCTTTCGACTGTCATTAATATTATAATCACTTTTGTTGATCTTCTGTTTAAGTTTTTTTCTATTTATTTATTTGGTGATTCAATAAAATTGACGTTTCTTACGGAATTAGCTGCCTCAGGTCTCAACAAAGATCGTTAAAGTCGAACATAAAAACCAAGAATATTGCACAGTGGGGATTTGAAGCTTTCTGTTGGCTATTTAGTAAATGAAAAATTTTTATTTTTTTTTATTTTAGGTGGTAGGAGCAATTATATGTGTCCTTGTGTTGAAATAATGCAGCTATGAATTGTCCCTCGAAATTATGGATTCTAGTGAGTTCTGTAGTCCATGATATCATAGGAAGGTCTTATTTTAACAAAAACTTAACACACTCTAATAATAACACATCTAAAGCTAAAGCGAATATCGACCCTTTAAGCCCTGACCACCGCTTTACCGGTGGTAGAGAAAAATGGCATAATACCCAGCCATCGGTTCAACAGTGGTAGATAAAAATGACTTAATAATCAACTATATTCAAATAAAAGGTTAGGGAGGAAACGCTTATCAGTACTGGAAAGAGCGATAACAGCTACGGGACATGAGAAACTTATTTTACTGAAAAATTGTTTTAAGAGAAAGATTATATGAATTTCAACTGGCTGCTGGGCCAATGAATGCCGAATGTTTCCATAAGGAAACGGCTAATATTATCATTAAAATTAGAGATGATGAGAACAGATACTACACTTTGATCCCATCACGATAACCCATGAGTGAAGAAAATCGTACTTTGAGTGGAACTGGCTGCTGGGTCAATGAACGCAGAATGTTTCCTTATAAGGAAACGGCTAATATTACCATTATAATTAGAGATGATGAGAACAGATACTACACTTTGATCCCATCTTCTTCTAAGCTATGGGTAAATAGCAGGACAGACCGGTTCTATAGCCTTGGATGGCAACTGGTCTACTGCAAAAAGAAATGACAACCTAGTGCGGTAAAAAAATCTACCTCGTCCGTCATGTATCGAAAGATACATGATCGCCTAGGCTTGTATCACGCATGGCTGACTTCAGTGCCAATTTTTAAACGAATAGGTAAATTACTCTTACTGTTACGTGATATCTGTTCTTCTTTACGGCAGTGAATGTTGGACGATTTCCTAAAAGATGGAGAAGAGACTCGAGGCGACGTAGATGTGGTTCTACAGAAGGATGCTAAGGATATCATGGACCAAGCGTGTGAGCAACGATGAGCTCTTAGAGAGGATGCAAACAAGGAGGAGGCTTATACTTAACATCAGAAAGAGGCAGCTGAAGTTTCTAGGACACATAATGAGGAAGGAGGGCCTGGAGAATCTGATACTCACGGGTCGAAAAGAGGGAAAGAGAGACAAGGGAAAGCAGTGCGTGATATTCCTGGCGAGCTTGATTAGGTGGATGACAGAACGTTGTCTGGGGGGGGGGAAGCAGAGGGAAGGAACTTGTTGAGAGCTGCAAGGTATAGAGGGAGGTGGAGAGTCATAATCGCCTACGTCCTGAAAGGACATGGCATATAAAAAGAAAAAAAAAATATGCCCGGTTGTATCGAAATCGATGGGAATTCGGAGATTAGGGCACTTTCAGTGAATAATATTCATTTTTTTTTATGAGAACGGCATTTTTCCGGTTCAAAATTGTGATCATGAAGATACTGGCGACATGCAAGAACATTGAGTAATTTGTTTAATTTTACCATGTCAACCGCTTACGGCCATATTACGTTGAAACACTGACTCTCGTACGATCACCGAAGTTAAGCAACATCGAACTTGGTCAGTACCTAGATGGGTGACAGCTTGGGAATACCATGTACCGTAACTTTGGATGAGCGGATGTTGTAATGGATAACAGTTCAGGATTGAAACTAAATTCTGGACTTTAAATAACCTGCAAAAGGTTGATAAGCCGTAAAAAACAATTTCATATTCTAAAAGAGGAAGTTTCTTTTAAAAAAAAAAAAGCCTAAGATAGTCTGTATATGATATACAATCATATATCTTTAATCCGGTACTCTATGATTCGACAACTTCTATGATCTGGCACTTTTTTTTTAATTAGCCATCATTAGTTCATTGAGCGGCAACGAGTTTAGCGACACAGATTGCGGTGGTGTAATGAACAACGGCTCTGAACTGTTCAATGGAGAGCCGAGTTCAAATTCCAGTTGGGTTCGTTATATTTACTTAGTCGTAAATATCCTTGGTAAAGGCATGAATCCACTTCTTCTCCCCCCCCCCAGTTATTGATTAATTAGTAATACTTGTATCAATAAAACCATTATTATTGCAAAAACAAAAATTCTTAGAATCTAAAAATATTTCTGGTTTTAAATAACCTGCAAAGGGTTGATAAGCTGTAAAAAATGAATCAATCAAAAATTTCAACTGGCATTTTCTTAACATGTGTCCTTTTTGTTTCAATCTTCCTTAAAACTTACTCGTTGCTTACATGCGTCTTCTGTGGTATTCCCAGCATCTTCCTGTAGAACCTTGTCTCCACAAGATGAGATTGTCCATAATTCACTGTCATATAAGAGGATTTGATATTACATCGCAGTTCAGTACTCTTTTCTTTGTTTTTAACGAGATTTTCCTGTTTTCTTAAAACGCACACGTTGTTTACACGCGCCGTTCATTGTATTCTCAGTATCCTTCTGTAGAACCACATCTCTGTTGCTTCAAGTTGCCTCTTCATCCGTGAGTAAATTGTCCAGCATTCATTGCCATAAAGGAGGACTGATGTCACAATGCAGTCCAGTACTTTTTCCTTTGTTTTTAGCGAAACTATTGCTCCTGTATTAAATTAGATCATCACTAGATGTCCTACATATGTTGGTTTATGTCTGATTCAGCTCGGGATCCCCCAGCTCTTGTACTAACGGTTAGGACATTGCTCTCGAAGGATATTGCTACTGTATAGAGATTCGTGTCCACTGTTTGTCACCCAGTGAACATATGTATACATGTATGTATATGTGTGTGCAGAACTGAAGAGAGGAGTTCGGAAGGGATCCCTGTATTGCCATGATGTGCCAACCTGGCTCCGTGCCCAATGCAATCGAATATGTCTAACCAAGGCAGGTCTGCTCAGTCACCAGAAATCACACCAACACCAACAGTCTATTGCATATGACGATTTCATAATCGCATGCTTTGAATGCCCGACTTGCACTAGAATGTGCAAGTCCAGGTCGGGCTTGACAAGACATAAAAAGACACATTGGAAGTGATGATGTCCAAAGTCAACTTCCACCACCCGTAGATGATTTGACATACCATATATGTAACAAGAAATACAGTTCGATGGCTCATAAAAGCCACTGTCGTCCACACAACAAATGAATGCAGTGTGTTATGGGAGTGGGGGGAGTTTAACTGAAGGACTGAACATGTCAGTGATGGTCATAATCGCTTTATGAGCTGACATATATATATATATGTGTGTGTGTGTGTGTATGCGTGAGCATATGCATGTATAAGTATTTACCATTTAAACATTAACATCATTGGCACCGTATATATATTTCACGAATTTCTTATAAATATCTTCAGGTTTTCTTCATTCCTTAAAATCTACGTGAATGTTACAGTGCGCATGCGTGAGAAATTACTTTTGTTTTTCAAGCCTTTTCTTTATTAGTGTTTTCATTTCACAGCTGTCGGTGGTAATGGTGATTTTTTAGCGTAGCTTAGATATAGCACAAGTCCGAAAATATGGGGCACCCAGTGAGGATCGAACTGACTACTTCATAGTTAGTAAGACAAGTTTGCTAAACATTACACTACATTGAGATCTCCAACTTATTACAATTGCGTTCAAAATATATTTAGTTGAAGCCATAAAATTATGTTAAAAATATTTAGATTTCGGCATTAAATAACCCATAGAGGTGTTGATATGCTGCTAAACAAAATCAACCAACATGAAAGAACACTTTCATGACATCAATTCATAAAATATCCTACAATTTCTTAAAGAAATCAAACTGTATTCCAAAATATAACACAAACATGTATATGCACAGAAGCTGAGTTTCCTCTACCATGTATTCAATTGTGAAAGCAGAATAACCTATATCATGATTTTTTCCAAGTTTTCCAGTACCTTAACCGGGTATTGAACTCACACTCTTTGGGTCGTGTAACAGGATCTAACTAACGCCTTTATCCACTGTTCCATATGTCCTCAAGACAGTGGAGAACTTTCAGAGGGAAATTAACAGGAGATAACTGATAACTGACATCCATTAAAAACATGGCACGTGGAACCAGAACAGTCTACTCCAGTAAGCGAAATAAAGGGTTAACTTCGACATTCCAACCACCCGAAGAAGGCCGGAGCGTACAACGGCCGAAACGTTGTAATAAATATGGCGACAAAGATGAGGACAATAGTCCGAATAATGTGAATAATGTACATACCTCATCTCAGAAATATAGACAGATACTCGTGCTGTTTTCTTTCTACATCTATTTCTCTCTCTCTCTCTCTCTCTCTCTCTCTCTCTCTCTCTCTCTCTCTCTATCAATCTCTCTCTCTCTCTCTCACACACACACACACTTTCTCTTACTCTTTCACACTCTCTCACACTCTCTCTATCACTCTCTCTCTATTACTCTCTATCTATCTCTCACTCTCGTTCTCTCTCACTCACTCTATCTCTCTCACACACTCTCTCTCTCTCTCACTCCCAATTTCTCACTCTCTATCTCTTTCTCTCTCACTCTCTATCTTTCTCTATATATATCTCTATCTCTCTAATCTTATCTCTCTCCTCTGTCAACTTTTACTCCTTTTCTCTCTCTCTTTCTCTTCATCATCTTCGCTAATTTCTTTTCTATTTTATCATTTCTTTCTCATTGAACTCTCACTCCAATTTCTTTTCTCTTTATCTCATTTTCTCTCGCTTCCTATCTCCGCCTCTTTCTTTCTTTCTTTCTTTCTTTCTTTCTTTCTTCCTTCCTTGCTTTCTATATCTCTATTTCTTTATTCCTTTATTTATTTATAGTGTATAAGAGTATATTGATTGATTTTTTCGTTTTTTACGGTTTATCAACCTCAAGCAGGTTATTTAAAGCTAGAAAATATTTTTAGATTGTAAGAATTATTTTAACGATAATGGTGGCTTAGTGATACAAGTCTTACTGTTACAAGATTTGGATTCATATCTTTCCCAAAAGTATTCGTGCGTGAGTAAGTATAACGAACCCAACTGGAATTGGAACTCGGCTGTCCGATTAACTATTCCGAGGCATTATCCATTAAACCATCCGCATATCAAAGCTTATAACACCGTGTATTCCCAACTGACCAGACTCGACGTTGCTGCGGTGATCGTACGGGAACCAATGTTTCAACGTGATATGGCCGTAAACCTTATACAGGAGTAGGATTCATTTCATATTAATAATAACGTACAGTTTCTACGCACTTTTCGTCCCCATAAAAGAAATATTGTAAAGACACTAGAAAAGAAAAGATAAAAACTCTTACAAAATATTTCTTGTCCATTATATTCAACAATATAAGATATAAAAGAACGATTGCTGCGCAGATATACAATATTCAAATACATTTGTGGTATATATATATATATATATATATATATATATATATATATATAAAAGGCAGGATGTGTGTGTGTGTGTGTGTAACGAATGCACGGCCGCAATTTTCGACGGATTTGCACCAAAATTTTACATGCACATGCTATAAGTTAGCGGAAAGGTCAAGACTGACTTTGCATTTCCCAACTCCCATCGATAGTGGAAAAATTCTGATTAAATTGTTTTCTGCATGGCCTTGTTTACTCACGAATAGGCAGGAAGATTCATTCGCTTGCTTAAACTAAACGTTGATTTTGATTCCGCCTCCTGCAATCGAACTGGGTTGGGTGTGAAAAAGTTATTTGTTGTTAAAATTATTTTTCATTTTTTCATTTTTTTCCAGTTCCGAGAAATTTTTTAAAGCTGATCGTTTTGTGTTCATTTTGTATAGTTCTTTTTCGTAACAGATTTAATGTTTAGTATAGAGCTTCGAAAAAATTCGCAGTGTGAGATAGGCAAGAAGTAAGTCATGTAGCAACATCAGCACGGGAAAGGACACTCCTTTAAAAGGCAAGGAAGGGCAAAAATATTTTAAATCAAGTGATAGCGATTGCTGTATGAGTCGTACGATTTTTTTAATCAACACGGGCAACACCGGGCCATGCTGCTATATATATATATATATATATATATATATATATATATATATATATATATATATATATACCTACGTGACGTGGCTTCCTTCTGTCTTTTCTACAAATATTTTTTATGGCAACTGCTCTGACGACCTTTTTTCACTGATGCCCAGACTATGTGAATTTAAGCTTGCTACTAAATTGGCATCTAGGTCCCACCCTCTTATTTTTGAAATAGCTAACAGCCGCCACTTCTACTCCAACAGTTCCTTTTCTCGTACTTCCCGCCTGTGGAACTCCCTTCCGCTTAATTGCTTCCCTGATTAATACAATCTGTAAAGATTTAAATGTAACATCAATCGCCATCTTTTATCTTCTTGAATCCCGTTCATCTTTTATCCTTTCTTCAATCCGTCCAATTCTCATATCTTCTCCTTCACTTTTTGTAACCCCCATGTGCACTAGTGGCATTTTCGCAATGCTTGGGGTGACATGATTAATATATATAAGGGAGGCACGGTGGAGTAATGGTTGGCGGCTTGGATTGAGGAATCGGAGAGCCGATTTCGAATTCCTCTTGAATCCATTATATTCACTTACGTGCTAATATCCCTGGGAAACGTATGAATCCTCTGAATTCAAAACCTGCTGAGGGTCGTTTGGGGACTTTGTGGCACGTAGTGCACCAGGTCTCTTTATCCTATCCAGCCCTTCAAAAAGTGTGGATGGTTCTGTACAAAACCTTCACCACTAGAATCAAATTTCATTTGCTGGTGTTGGGCTGCTGTCGGTTCCTAGGAACTGAGCTGTTTGACCCTCATACGAGTCGAGTATATATCGACATGATAAAAGCAGAAACTCCTCAAAAATTCTTTCTAAACAACTGAAAATTGCCGCACAAGAACTACGAAACCACCCTGACATTATTGTAAAAAAAAGCTGATAAGACCAACATTTTTGTCATCCTAAACAAATTGGATTACAACAAAAAACTAGACCACATACTCCATGATCACATAAAGTTTAAAAAACTTAACAAGAACCCGACCAACCAACTAAAATCAAAGCTTAATAAACTTATTAATGCTAATAATGCTGAACAGAACTCTTTAAAAAACCCCTAAAATTGTTGGTGATTATAGACCTGGCTACATATATGGCACTATAAAAACACATAAACCTAACTATCCTCTCCGTCCTATCATATCGCAAATTCCAACTCCTGTATATCATCTAACAAAATACATCAACCAACTTATTACTCCCTATCTTCCTAGTAAATATAGTGTTAAGTCAACATTAGAAGTAATCCAAATCCTAAAAAGTGAAAAACCTGACAATGAAATCATGGCTTCACTTGATGTTGAAAACTTATTTACCAATGTCCCTGTTAGTGAAACTATTGACATAATCATAAGAAATATATACAGTAACTCATCTTTACCCCCACTTAAAATTAATCCTAATATATTAAGAAAACTACTATTAACTTGTACTACTGAAGTCCCTTTCTTCGATCATAATAACAATATATATATACAACGTGATGGTGTCTCCATGGGTTCAGTATTGGGCCCGACATTTAGCAATTTCTACATGTCGAACCTCGAAAATAAGTTATTTACAGATTTTAAAAACCATCAATCTACCTAAGATACGTTGATGATATTCTTATGTTAGTTAAAAATACAGATGAAATAATTCAACTTCAAAAAACGGTTCCAAAAATAATTCTGTCCTTAAATTCACATATGAACTCAATACTAATAATAAAATCCCTTCCTTGACATATTGATAAACACAAATAATAACAAATTTACTATTTCGCCATACAAAAAACCTACAAGCATAAATTCATGTACAATTAACTACAAGAGCGAATGCCCATATTACTACAAAATAGCAATTATAAAGAATCTAATACATCGTGCAGAAACTAATTCCTCCACCAAACAGATTTTTTACAGTGAACTAAAGAATATAAAACAGACACTTATTAATAATAGCTTTCCAAACTATATAGTTGATGAACAAATAAGATGCTTTCTTAGAAATCTCAATAATAAGCAAATTGTACATAATACTGCTTCTACTGATCTCAAATATATTAATCTCCTATATCGTAATCAAATGCATACTAATTATAAACAAGATGAACACATACTAAAAAATTTAGTAAATTCTAATATATCAACTACAGATCCTAGCAAAAAAATTAAATTAATCATATACTACACTAAATCTAGTATATCCAACTTAATATGCAATGATTCTCCCCCGGTTAGCGATTTGCAAAAAACCAACATAGTTTATAAATTCAAGTGCCCTTGGGAGAGTGTATCTCCAACGAATTAAATAATATTTATGTTGGTCACACCACAAACTCCTTTCACGACGCTTGACACTACATTTTAATGAAAACTCTAACATTTTTAGGCATTTAAAACAACATGCCTGCCCCGCACACACAATTCCGTAAAATACTTGTCGAAAACACAACTATACTTCGACATGAAAACAATAGACAAAAACTAAAAATACTTGAAGCATTATACATCAAACAGTTAAAACCCAACCTACACAAAATCAACTATGGAATCTCTACAAATATTCTTAAATGTCTATAATTTCTATAATTGGTAACAGAAGCCATTGGTTTATACCAACGGCTTTCCTTATTTCATTCTCCAATTCACTCTCGTGTAGTCATGTGTGACGTCATGAGATGCGGTGCGATTTTCGCTTATAGCGTCTTATATGCGCGTGTTCATCGTTGCTCAGTGATCCACTATGTAAACTAAACAATGACAGACTATCATCACTGTCGTGTCCGTATATTGTTTGATATGTTTGTAATTACATCTTTGATAATGGCTTGAGTAAGCCGAAAGCTTAGATTATATTAAAAATAATGGATAAATATTGTGAATTTCTTTTTCGGTTAATGATAATGTTATCAAACTTATCAGAAGATACGAAAAAATTTTACATAAAATAAATAGACAACACTTGTCTATATTATTTAATGAAACGTATAAATGAAAATATGCTGCCTAAATACACATATATATATATATATATATATATATATATATATATATATATAGGGGGGGGAGAGAGGTAACGATCAAATGTAGATCAAATATGGATTGGAATGCAACAGGACAAAAAGATAAAGAACAAATAAGAAACGATTATCGATTGAAAATGTTTTGCTTTTCTTAAGGCTTCGTATGTATGTACGTATGTATAGATTTATTTTAGTGGATACCCATATTTGAATAGACGCTCTGCTTTTTTTCTCTAATATGATTTCTCAAATGTTCAGATTGTGTACGAAATAAAATAGTATTTAAGAAAAATAAACAGAGCGTCTCCTCAATTATGGGAATCCACTAAAAATAAAGAGCAAAAAAATAATATGTCGGATTAATAAATAAAAATAAAAACCCCTTACTTGTTTAGAATATATATATATGTAAATTTAAAAGAGGACATTGAAGTCAATACACAAATGCGACAGTCTGTTTCGAGTGTTGTCGCCTAAGGTATTGACTTTTATATTTAAATAGGCTCTATCTCTGATATTGAGCACTTTAACCCATAAATATAGCATAAGTTAAAAAAAGTATATTTTATCAGAAATATATATATATATATATATATATATATATATAATCAATCAATTAAATGAAAACTTTTGTTTGAATTAACCCTAAATATATATATATATATATATATATATATATATATATTTATATATATATATATATATATATATATATATATATATGATATATATTATATATATATATATATATATATATATATATATATATATATATATATATATATATATATATATATATATATATATATATATATATATATATATATATATATATATATATATATATATATATATATATATATATATATATATATATATATATATATATATATATATATATATATCTATCATTCTATATATATATATATATATATATATATATATATATATATATATATATATATATATATATATATATATATATATATATATATATATATATATATATATATATATATATATATATATATATATACGGATAAAAAATGAGTTTTATATTTATGGATTTATTTAAGATATTTCCATTTCCAATAAGCAGTTTCAGTAAATTGCAGGAAAAAGTCTGGAAATTGCGTACACATGCCCCTGAGCACGACATACGTACATGTACACCCACAGATCTCCACACACATACGCAAATATAAATAAGGCCTCTTCTACACACCCGTACACACCCGTTTTGAATGTAAATATGTACGTTTGAATGACATTGTTAACAAAAAAGGCGTCAATCATTGATCATTTTCTTCATCCTTATAAATGAAATATTGCCTCAAGCTGCGAGCCACTGTTTTTTTTTTATTTATTTTCTAATCGACATTAACAAAAATAGATCTTTGCAAACCACCGAAGATTTTTTATTTATTTATTTATTCTCACTTTTTTATTGGGTGGTTGTATTATTTTATTTATTTTTATTTTATTTTATTTATTTTTATTTTATTTTATTTATTTTTATTTTATTTATTTTTATTTTATTTTTTTATTTTTTATTTTTTTTTGAGTGAGAGAGAGACGGAGATCCAATGGAGTTCGCTTTTACTGTACAATTTAAAATCAAACCCGTTGTTCACAATCGGATACGCAAGTCTTGTATTTGACTGCAAGATCAAACTAGGAATTTTTATGTTAAAATCTTTGCAGATAAACTAATATAATTTTAGGTTATTGTTACATTTACAACTCATCACTATCTTTATCAATGAAAGTATTTACTAGTACGAGTCAGATATTTGGTTTGGTTTTTATAGATTATCAACCCATTGCAGGTCATTTAAAGCCAGAAAACATTTTTAGCTTGTAAGATTTTTTGTGGGGGTGGGGATAATAATGGTTTAATGATACAAGTCTTACTAGGTAACCCATAGCTATACGATCCATTCTGCCCTTCTATTTACCCATAGCTAGGGGGGAGAGTGGGTTCATGCCTTTCCCTATATAGTCATTTCTGCAAAAACATCTTCATTCACCACTTTCATATTCTTTCCATTTGGTTTGCTAAGGCAATAAAATATGTTACATGAATGTATGATTTGATTCATTGATTCGGTTTTACGGTTTATCAACCAATTTATAGGTTATTTAAAGCCAGAAAATATTTTCAGATTGTAGGATTTTTGTGGTTTAGTAATACAAATGCTAATTAATCCATAGCTGGGGGAGAAAAGGTGGATTCATGCCTTTCCCAAATGTATTTTTACATGTAAGTGAATATAATGAACACAACTGGAATTGGAATTAGCAAATTTGGTTTAAGGCTCCAACATCTAGGTTCAGAATAGCTTTGGAGTGTGACTTTAGTAACATAGTAATTGTAAGTTCAATCCCTCAGCCAGCTAGTGCAGACAGTGGAAATAAGTATTTTTGATTAATTCCTTTTCTACGGATTATCAACATTTTATAGAGTTTTTTTTTAAACCAGAAAATATTTGTAAATTGTAAGAATTTTTTTTCAGATAATAATGGTTTGTTACTAATTAACCCATAGTTGTGGGAGAAGTGGATTCCTACCTTTCTCATGGGTATTTGCGCGTAAGTGAATATAACGAACCCTACTGGAATTTGAACTCGGCTCTCCGATTAACAATTCCGAGCCGTTATCCATTATACCACCTGCTCATTCAAGCTTACAACACTTGGTGTTCCCAAGCGGTCACCCATCTAGGTACTGACCAGGCTCGACGTTGTTTAACTTCGGTATTCGTACGGGAACTGGTGTTTCAACATAATATGACCGTAAGCTTTATAAATATTTTTTAAGATAATATTTCCATAATTTTTAGACCGAATTTTCTGAGACCGAATAATCCTGTTATCGATTTAAAATAGCTGTTTATTTATATTTGTCCTGTCTTTGCATCTAAATTTATCCAAGATTCTTCTAGAGAAAAGCAAACGCTGATCTTTCTAATGTAACCGAAAATATTTTGAAATTTAAGTGACGATTTACTTTTCTTGCATTTATATATGCAGACGTTTATTGACGCCATCTTGACCGCAAAAGCAAAAATGGGAACGAAAGACAAATGAACATGATTGAAACTTAATTCGAAGAGAGCAGACGAAAAGTAAAGACAATGAATGATTCAGACGTACAGAAAATATTTCAATGAGAATATTTTCCCTTAATTTATTCGTGAATATTTCTTTTATTTTTATATATATATATATATATATATATATATATATATATATATTTCCACAATCATTTTCTGATGTTGTCTGCGCGGCTGGAAGAGATATCTATCAGTCCTGAGATACACAAGACATGCGCTTGGGGTAGTTATTTATTTCGTACTGTTTTAATTATTTTTTTCGATTTTTTTATTCAGCTGTTGATGGTAGTGTAACATCTGTTTTATCAATCGAGAAAAGATGGGAGCGACACTAGGGTGATCTCCTGGATGCAGGCCTGGACAGGACCTTTATAAGAGATCGACAGCTGCCCATAAAGCACGTCTATTCTGTCTACGTTACCGATGTTTACGAAGCGAAAAGCAAAGGTCGATATTGCTTGGTGGTGATGACGTCACTAAAGTAGATAAAACGAGGTGAGATTCAACATCGGACTGCTTTTGGAACTCCGGATCCCTATTTTTTCCCCAGGGTTTTCCCTTGAAGAAAATTAAACGCTAAGAATAAAAATCTCTTTAAAGTCTTATTATGAGATAAAACCCATTATAATTTCTGTAAATATTAGCAGCTGAGAGAAGGCTGTAGTGATTTTCTAAGCGTAGCTTAGATGTGGCACAAGGCCTAAAGAAGGGGACATCCAGTGAGGATCGAACTCACTACTCAGTCGTAATAGTTCTAGCGAGACACGCTTGCTAACCATTACACCGCCTCGGGGTGTCCAGCCGAGAGAAGGCTGTATATAATGAACTATTTTAACATCGAATCAAAAATATGAATACAGTGTAACCCGGATATAAGAGAGATTTTCTCTGGTCCCAAATTAGAGCCTGTGTTAATGTATATAAAATAGACCAAACCCGGATATAAGAGAAACCCGGATATAAGAGCCTTCTTCTCCGGTCTCGGCAACTCTCTTATATCCGGGTTACACTGTACATTCAACAAATTTTAACCTCTCTACAAAGGTCAAATAATCAGAAATAATTTTCTGCAGCTCTAGATTATTAAACATTACGATACGGTAAGGCATTCGCTTAGATATTGATTACTTTAATCTGGAATTTATAATGTAAAGTTCACAATGACAATACAGCCAGCGAGTATCATACTTTCGAACAATAGTGTATAGCGGGGGTCGGCAATCTACGGCACGCGTGCCACGTGTGGCACGGCAAGCAATTTCCAATGGCACGCAGCTATCACGAAGTCCGAACCAATAACTACTACAACAAAAAGATATTTAACTGTTTCAATTTAAATATATACTAAAGTATATATATACTATATATTACAATATAAAATATATTGTAGAACATTTATATTGACCTTGACTTGTATAAAAATACGTATACTATTGGCACAGTGAATGATTTTAAAACCCTATGTCGGCACATAGCAAAAGTTTGTCGACCCCTGGTCTACACGATTGCTCTACGGCTGTCGGCCTGTCAGTGCGTTCATTATTATTAAGCGAGCAGCGAGCAACACGCTACTAAGTAGACGCTGGGGTACAAATATACAAAGCCAAATCTACCTATGTTGTCACCCAGTTAAGTAAGAGTATATAAAGCTCATTATTATTAATTAATTAATTAATTAATAATTATTATTACTACTACTACTACTACCAATTAAGAGGAGATTGCGATTTAAGAAAAGAAAACAAAAAGAAAAAAAGCACAGTGTTTGACAATCTTAAACAATATTTCAACAGACTGAGGATAGTGACGTATTCAAATTACTAACTCCCTGCCCCGGAGGAATTAACAGAATGATAAGAGAGTTCCATAAGATTTATACTAAGCTCTTTGATTAATTCCTCTTAGTAGCAAATCAACTAACGGAAAAATTCACAGATGAACAAGATCGCCATCATATAAAGTACGTTTCCGTTTCATGCCTTCACGCTGGAGCCGTTTTATTCGTTTTGACGTCTTCATTACCAGTGCAACCGTTTTTTTTCCTTCTCCCTTATCGATAGAGTTTCTTGATTTTGTCGAAAGACAGAATAGAGAGATCACTCTTAATTTTTGATTAGTAAACGGATCATTCATTTTCAGTTTTCCGGTGCCATCGCTAATCATTTCATTGATATAATTTTTACATATATTTTTGTATACATAATTGTCCGACAACTATCTTTCAGACATTTTTTTATGTTTATAGGTTCTTTTTATAGATACAAACATTTAAGTAAATGCTCTGTTTATAATAAACAGTATTAAACAACATTTACCGACCTGAATATCCGAGAAATTTTCATAGAAAATATGCGTCCTCCGACAGGAATCGAACCTGTATCCTATACGGAACCGTCATATAGCCTGGCATGCTTTTACCGATTGAGCCACAGAGAAGCGTTTCAGTTAGACTGGTCGATTTTACTGTTTTTAAACTACAATTCTCCATGATTTTCTCTCGTATATTCATATCTGCTCGATGCGTACCCAAATGTAAACAGGCTATATAATAATATATTATATATATAATTCCCGGCTATTTTGAACTCCTGTGCATGACTATTTAATAAACCTCTTCTTCTTTGTTTCCCCTGTTTACTTTTCTGTTCCTTTGATACTCTCTCTAACTACGGCATTCCTAATTCTAGGTAATTTGATCACCTATGTAAGAGTATTTAATAAACACCATCTTGCTTTTCCCTAACCTGCCTTGTGGTCCTTCGATACTCTCTCTAAATACCGCCTTCCTAATTCTAGTCTATTTTGAACTCCTGCGCATGAGTATTTAATAAACCTATTCTTCTTTGTTTCCTCTTCCTAGTCTTCTGTTCCTTCGATACTCTCTCTAATTAAGGCCTTCCTAATTCTCAGCTATTTTGAACTCCTATGTATGAGTATTTAATAAACCGCTACTCCTTTGATTCCTCTACCTAGTTTTCTCTTCTTTCTATACTCTCTCTAAGGCCTTCCTAATTCTAGTCTATTTTGAACTACTGTGCATGAGTATTTAATAAACCTATTCTTTTTTGTTTTCCTCTACTTTGTCTTCATTCGATACTTAAATACGGCCTTTCTAATTCTCGGCTAGTTTGGCCAAAGACAACTTTACAATATTTCTAAAGTGCAGTTGCACACATTCGCAGTAGCTTGTTAGAAAACAGATGCACTCAGATGCGATCTTCTATAAGACATATACATACAATGACACAAGCATTTAAAATGCATATGCGAGCAGACACACTAAGATGCACGTAGTGGCCAAGACAGATTAATTACACTCAGGCTGAGAAAAGCAGTAACGAGAGTTCATTGTGAAACGCCATCCTTTCGTCCATTCTTCTTCTTCGTCTTTTACTTAACCATTCATCGTTTCTTATCTTTGCATATTTTTCAAATCCCCCCCCCCAACACAAGGTGGAGAAAGACATTCGCCGCACACATCTATCACAAGAGAAGCCTTTGGTGATTGAACTCCGATCGTTTCCACGTCGTTGCACGGTATGATCGATTCAAAACGACAGCGCGCGGAGATCTGGCGCCATTGGAGACAAAAATTGACAGAAATGCCCATTCGTTGCTTCCGACGCACACCACCACCGCGCCGGACGCACGGCGTGTTTCCCTTTGGAGGATTTTCTTGTGAGTCATCGAAAGGCCAGGGTGACGGCAAATTATGTCATCACTGATAAAAACTCGAAAACGAAAAAGAATGAATGCGAGAATTAAATAATAAATGTATGGCACAAAAAAAGAAAGAAAGAAAGAAAGAAAGAAAGAAAGAAAGAGAGGAAATGAAGGAAGGAAAAGGAATGAATAAAGAAATTAAACAAAGCATAATGAGATAGTAAGGGATAAAAAAAGAGGGAAGAGAATGGAAAGCAAGAATTTGAGAAAGAAAGAAAGAAAAAAGAAAGAAAGAAAGAAAGAACGAACGAAATTAAGTAAAGAACAGTGAGAAAAAAAAGAAAGAAAGAAAGAAAGAAAGAAAGAAAGAAAGAAATCTTAAGGAAAAAAGCAAGAAGGAAAAAATGGGGAAAAAAGAAATGAAGACAATAATTAAAAGAAAGAAAGAAAGAAAGAAAAAGAAAGAAAGAAAAGAAAAAATTAAAAAGAAAAGAAAAGAAAGAAAAAAGAAAGAAAGAAAGAAAGAAAAGAAATCTTAAAAAAAAAGCAAGAAGGAAAAAGTGGGGAAAAGAAATGAAGACAATAATTAAAAAAAAAAAGAAAAGAAAGAACGAAACGAAATTAAGAAAGAACAGTGAGAAAAAAAAGAAAGAAAAAAAAAGAAAGAAAGAAAGAAAGAAAGAAAGAAAGGGTCGAAAAGAAAGAAAGATAGAAAGACACCGTAATGAAAGAAAGAAAGACACCGTAATGAAAGAAAAAGGAAGGAAGGAAGGAAGGAAGGAAGGAAGGAAGGAAGGAAGGAAGGAAGGAAAAGGAAAGAAGAAAGAAAGAACTTGTGAAAATCTTTCTTTCCTTGATGAAAAAAAATATCTGAACGACAAAGATTCATCATAAGCACCTCTCATCAATCAACAAGTTCTTTACTGAGCGGATTTCCCCCCCACAAAACATCAGCAGTTATCTCCCCTGGGAGAAAGTAGTCTCTAAAGAGGTCGATTGGGGGAGCCGTATCCAATAAAAA